CAGATTCGTCTTTCTTTTTTTATTCTTTTTCTTTTAGCAATACTCAACCATTCCAATAGCCAATTTTCTTCTCCAGAGCTTTTTTTTTTTTTTTTTTTTTGTGTGTTTTTTTCCCAGGGAAAAGAATTTAGCTTTTCAGAATGAGAATTTTGCCCTTAGATCAAATCAGCTGTCATAGAAACCAGTAAGGGGGAAAAAAACCCACAGAGTGCCACGGCTGCATAACCAAGGGGATAGACATCTTAACCTTGTGCAATGACTGTCATAAACTGGCAAGATTCTGAAGTGGCAGATTAGTCTCTCACTTAATCACACCTTTAAATTTTTATTGTTTCTTCAAACAACCCAGAAACATGTTGTCTCTCCGTTATTTATTTTCATTTATAGTTCTGAAGTATCGATTGTCTTCTCTTTCTGCAGACATTTATCTGCTAGTGATTTACAGTAACTTCATAGCATCATCAGCCATCAAATATCATACAAAACGATGTGAAATGATATAAAAAGTGTTCTCATTAGTGTTATTTTGGCACAGAGATCATTGAACTACTGCAAAAATGCTATAAATTAGTAGTGGGAAGATTGCCCAACCCGATGGATTACTATTTTTTCCCCATTTCACAGATGTTACTTGATGAACCAAAGAAAGGAAAGGCGTAGATATTTTAAATACAATAAATGGTCATTACTAAAAGACTAACTATGAATTATACAGAATAAGGAACGAAAAGGAGGGAGAACTCTTATTTTTCAGTATTCTGGGTCTGAGTACCTTGTATATAGCACTCAATCTCACTCTCAAGGAATGGAATGAATACTCTTTTTCCCCCCCATTTAGGTATAAATTTTCTAAATGCAAGATATCATTTCTCACATATAGACTGAAGGTAAACATATAGGGTGGTCTTCATGTCTAGTTAAACAATCCATGAAATCATTCAATATTCTGAAAGGCAATTTAATCAATTAATGCCTAGCTATCTGGTTCTTATACATTTCATAGAATGCAATCTACCAATGATTAGGGATATGGTTTGGGTTGCATAACTAAAAGGTAAAAAGTTTCCTTGTCCAGCTGTGTCCAACTCTAGAACATGATGTTCATCTCCATTTCTTGGCTGAGGGAACCAGTGGTTGTCTGAAGACATTTTCTGTGGTCATGCAATGCTGTTAGTTATGGAACTCATAACTCTCCCTTTTTATGACTTTCTAACCCCTTATTTTGGGGTAGAGTCAGGGCAACTGGATAGAGCTGAGCATTGTTCTGACCTAGGCTTCCCAAGAACGTGAAGTAAACTCCTGGTCCTGACAAAAATCCCTTTTATTAATTGACTGTGAATCCTGCTCATTCACATACTTTCAAGGGAGGATTTACAGTCACAGACCTTATCTGGCATGGAGAGCTGCCAGGCTGATATCTGCAAAACTTGGCAAGGAGTAACCTGGCA